ATCTAGGGACCAATTTTTAGTACTTTCAAATCTAGTGAGTCAGAGATCATTGCAAACAAAAAATGCCAATCAAATGTAAATTTTATAATTGATAGTTAATTTTGTTTTTTTTTTTTTTTAATATATATTTGGTATTTGAAAATTAAATTGGTAATGGAACAATGTAAAATGTGTTGCTTTGTGAATAATATATATTATATTATGGTAAAATAATTACTTATGTTACATATTATATAATATGCTGTAATAGTAATTTCCCTGTTTTTCTTATATTTTTTCCAGGTTTCTCCCATTATTCATTATGGAAAATGCGGGAGGAATCAAATAACGCTTTCCTTAAAGTACCTTTCCCAGTTAGACTTCTTTTAAAAAAAGTATCATACTTAAAAAGCCGAGCAAATTTGCCGGTAGAAAATTTATCCACAAAAAACATAATAAACATCATTGTATAACGAATACATTCAATCAGAATCTAAAATATCATGGGATAAAACTTATAAATTAGTTTTGACTACAAGCAGCAGCAGCAGAAAAGTCACAAGAAAAAATTTAGAATTATATTAGAATTTAAAAAAAAAAAAATTTGATTAAAAAATCATTTATTGAGACCATTCTGTAAATTGTGTGTTTCTTTTTATGTGTTATTTCCCCCGGTTTTGCTTAATTATTAAGAAAACTAAACGGAATATCGAAAAACCACTTTTTTGATTAACATACTAGGTTCAAAGCTCAATAAATATGTTCCTTTGTTTTTTTTTTTGATTAGATCTATATTTATTGTAGAAAACATAAACCGTAAAAATTAGTTTTGACTACGAGTTGCAAAAATGAGTCGGAAAGGATAGCCCAGCCCAGTCTGAAAAATGATTTTGAGTACCAGGGGCGCATACGGTATGACGTCGTTGTCACCGCTCGATGTACTGCAACCCGTGATGTGTGCCGACGGTGGCGCTGTAAGAGTGCGGATTTATATTATTATACAGTATACAGATTTATACAGTAAGCTTGAGGAATAGAGAATAGCACGTATTGAAAAAAAGGAAATATAAGAATAAGTAAAATTTAAAAAAATTTAAATTAAAAAATTTAGAGTATGAGATTGGAGGAACAGTACAAGAGACCTATTGACAATAAGCAGTCATAGGCGGTAGGCGAGGTTGAGAGTTTTACACAAAACTAATTATTTAATTATTAAACCATAATGTGACATATTTTATACAGAGTGCTACGTTTAAGTGGATACGCTTATTATATCGG